GTCTTATCATCAACTAAGTTTTATCGCATCGCATCGCTGAGCTCGAGCTAATTGCTACATATGGCACCCATATACCTGACGTATTTAGCCTTGTGTTCATGTGTGTACGGGAGTGCTAATGGTACACTTGAATTACGGATAAAATTCATGGGGGTGATTTCAGCTCTTGCCGTCCATCAGACTGTTCGGTTCATGTGTTCTCCCTATTATCGCACCCGTTAACACACAATTAGTACACGTGTACCCTCCCGACGTATGGAGCTTTTCCTGTTGCTTACGTTTGTTGAACGAATTTTTGGTCGATCCTTATTCTTTGGCGACGGCGGGCTCTTTACGTTGACCATCACCGTATTTCCAGAAACATCACTTTTACGGGGTCTCCTATGGAGACGTCGATTTTGTAGAAATATTTGATCGAGTTCTTCGGCTAAGATATTTCCAAGCTCACTAAAACCGTCTCACTCCTTCGATACTTTGAAAAATTGCGTCGACATCTCTCGCATTTTTTTCGCTTTCAGCAAAATAGAACCAGTTGTCCAGCGACAACCGCATCTATCATCTTCCACACTGATTCTAACTCATGAGCCTAACTGCGCGATCACTTGGCACACAATCCTACAGGTGTGGAGTACAGTATTAAAGTGTTGGTATTTACGCGCACTTTCATGACCCATCGGTTTTCGGCTTGCGTCCCATTCTCTCCTTTCTCTCCCAATCGCTGTGCCCATAACTATCTCATTTCCGCTTGTAGCTTCCATGCTGTACTAATCGATACTGATATCGATTGTATACCGGTTTCACTAGTTCACTTACCGCCAGTGTTTTACCAAATGGGCGTGCCTCGCTTCTTCGCTTCCGTTCAGTTTGTTAACACACTGTACAGTATGTTGACTGGGTACACTGTACCTACCCTAGACTGGTCTTAGAATCATCTCTCGAATTATATCGATCATCCCTAAAAGCTTTGGACTCTTCTCAAACTGAGCGCATAGTCCACCTGCCCCATTACTTTTGTGTACGTCATACTAACGGACACTCCAAAATATCTCACTGCTTTTTTATTTTTGAACAGCATCAGTGCCAGTTACACTTTGTACTCATTTAAAACGCATTCCCCTCCAATTGCTCTAGATCAACTTTTTCAAACTGTTTTCCACGGATCTTCAAAGGGGTACTTGCAAGGAGTCCGCGAATTTCGCCGGGATGTCATAATTCTGCTAAACCTTTTTGGACGTAATCACTTTATTTTGTAGTCCGACGGCGAACATGGAGTGAACATCTTTTCAACTTTTAGCTGACAGTCCACATTAATTTTGTGAATGGCCTTTGTGGAACAAACTCCTTCAACGAAGGAATCTGGGTTTCTCAGACTTAAAGTAAGAGTGCACAAGGCTGTCAACTTTCTGAAAGTTAGGGTGGTTATCTCACCGTCATGCGTTGAGTAGAAGCAGGACAGGTCATTCTCTGCTGACGCAAGGTCACATAATCCAGATTTTGTCCATCTAGGGAGGCGAAAATTAATCACGAGTTATGGCTGCTTTTTGCGACCACTTCAAAACTCGTTATTCTCCCATTTTCGAGAATTCAAAAGAATTCTCTTAGCAGTAGACTTCTTGAAAACAATTTAAAAGACAAACGGGGACAAAACACTTCCAGAGTTTCATTTTGATGAAATTTTGCTTCCTTGGGAGCATCTGACCGAAGCGTTGTCCCATTACTTTCCCAGCAAAGATGAGGAAAAATTATACGAATTTTCACACATCGAACCAATTAATTTGCACGAAAAAGCCACTTTTCACATTTCTTTAGTATGAGAAATTTACCCCCTTCAGGAAGAGTGCCGCTATCTGATTTGTGATGGAAGGCGAAGGCCGGGTACTCTGACAGCGAAGACAGCTGTCACCGTGCTCCTCCCATTCGCCACAACATACCTGTGTAAAAGTGAATTTTCGCATTACACACATACAAACACAAAATACTGCAAATGACTTGTAGCTGCCATCATCATCGCCGTTTGAACTGATGCTTCGCTCCCATTTAACCACGACCACCTACGTAACCCAGCATCAAACCTTTAAGTAAACATTCGGTGTAAAGATGCCTACACCATCAAAAAAGTTGTCCATCGTACAAAGATAAAGTGGCATCGCCGAGACAGTTTCCTTTCGGCTTTCACTGCCATGCGTCATAATCAGCCATTAACCCGCGGATAACTCAGCATCAAACACACTTTAAACAGGCAGTCCGACTAGGAGACGGCAGCAGACGCGCCACTAGTGTCGGTTTCGCGCCGTCTTGTAAAGTTTTGGACTAAGCACAAGTCGAGTCACGTGAACTCCAGCCTGGTAAGTAAGACATACCGGCTGCTGGTCCTCAGTGGCTTCATTTCCCGCTACCGAGTTGATTTTTGCCCACCACGAGCCGTGCGCCACTCTACCTCTGGCGTACTAAACTAGGTTCTCCTCGTTAAGCGACGACCGGCACACGTATTACGTGACCAAGCCAACGCAACTTATTTAGTGCTATCTGTTGCTCTAAAGAAGTGGCCTGATTATCACTGCCTAGCACGCCTACGCACATCATTGTGGCGGACACGCTGGTGCCATCCAACACCAACAATGCTTCGCAGACAGCCATGATCAAATGCTTCTAAGCGATTCAGATCGAAGGGATTAATCTTCACTTCCATACACTAAGACACTCCTCGCTGTGTCCTTGTAAACATGTTCTTTCAGGCTGAGGGAAACCCCTTTCAAACGCCACAGCTTCGAGAAGACCTCGATGCTTACGCGCCCATCGTTGATGAAGTGGCTGCCAAAATAAATAAAGTGACTAACTGTTTGAACTTCGCAGTTGAGTCCCTTCTGCTGATTCGCATAGACTAGCCTATTTGTTATTTCTTGGCTGTTGTTCTCTCCCCGACCCCCGAAGACTGTCATCACCCACATTTGTCTCACACAGCTGGGTATATCGTCTCGTTTCATTCTGTGGCATCACATTGGGTCATACTTTTGAGCATTTTCCACTCTTATCTTTCCACCCTGTTTTTTGTGACATTGCCACGCGTAATAGATATACGAGCGACGATGAACGCTTTTTCGACCATTCTAAAGCACTTTACACCTGAACAGATACTCCTATGTCTGTGACCACGTATGTGTGGGAATGTTCACCCTTTTTTTCTCCCGTGCCTTATGGATTGAGTCATTGTATGTTTTGCAGACATGACCATTAATCTGGTTTCCGCATTTGAAGTGGCAATCAGATTTCCCTGTACTATTTTGCACAAATCTAATACCGAACGATATATGGCTCTTCCTTCACTGTAAGTCTGCTGGTTTCTCGCTCTTCTACCTTCGCGTCTGTTATCGTCTTCCAAACTCGCCTTGTTCCAGTTATGTTATCTTTTGAAACTACTTTGGGTAGGACACCATTGGTGTCTGTTGCTCGAAGCACTCCTTTTCGTTGTTTTAAGGCCACATCCTACTTGCTTAGCATCTGTTTACTCATGTTGTCTTTTAATTCTGCGCCATCACGGCTTCTTTTTGTGAGTGCTCATTCCACCCCCCTTCCTGAGATCCACATTTCCGTTTATATCCTTATCCATTGCAGACACTGGTATCGTATTTTTTCCTTATCCTTAGCTCACTGTTTTGTCCGTGGTCCAGCCAAACCCATCATCAGTTTTCCACCACCCTATCGCTCTCCCATAGGCCAGTTGAAAGAGCACTCGCTTTGTCTCACGACTCAGCTCTCATTGTTTCCTCATACTCGGCGTCGCCGCGGCTCATTGTTTCAATGCCCTTATAAGTCAGTACACTGTACCCGTCAGTCAACCTTTCACCTGTCCTCCAGCTACGCCTCACACTCCGAAATATTTAGCTGGTACCTTTGCTTACCGTGCACTTCATTCATGCCACCTATTTGTTTTTAAAACGGGCTTGTCTCCTAGGTTAATAGCGCTATGAACGACTTTGTTTCCCCCTGTTCTTGTGCCTAGCGAGTTCAGCACCTTTCCGTTTCCTCACCTGTGCAAATTTTATTGGCGGCCCATATATTTCCGTTATCATTCTCCCTCCCGTTTCTTCCGTTGTTGGATGGCTGCTTACTGCCTCTGTTATCCCATCCAAAATTAAATTTGGCACTCCGAGCTCTCTATATCTTTGATTACCGTCTGCTCTAATGACTGTTGCCAATATCTTGAAGTCTTTACTCACTTACTTGGACAGACGCGATAGTTTGATATGCTTTCGTCAACAACATGCGCCTCACCCAAATCTCGTATTCCCTCTATCTCATGCCGTCACCTATCGGCTTGGATGACTGCTTGTATTCTTCACGTGACACTGCGCTGGTTGTTATTGCAGCTTGTTCCCTCCACCCTCATATGCTATCTCTCCGCAGACTTTGTACACTGTTTATCGCCAGTTTTGTTTTATGATACGATGACAGAAGACACTACGTGTACTAGCCTCCTTTTTCTTGTCCATATAATTTTCCACTTCACACTTAACGCATAGCCTGGTCTTTTGATTCAAAAGCTGACAATCCTGTTTATTCCTTCGAATGATTGATTAGATTGTACGCCAAATGACACTTAGCTTGCGACAGTTTCTGCGGCCAACAAAAGTTGCATGCCCCTAGAAGCGTCAAAATGAGAACAGGCTATAGTTTTGATGGAACCTGACTTCCTCTATGGTGTTGAGATAACTCAGTTTCCCCAGTCTGCGACGATTGTCGTCTCCACTCGCTAGCTGTTTTCCGTGTGGTTTCCGGTCCACTGCCCATATTTCGAAGAACTGAGACAAGGTTCCACGGTTTACTGCATCTTTCACATAAAAACTGGCTCGTAGTGACTACTTTCTCTTTTGACCGTCTTTCCCCATTATCATTCTTTTGCATTTACCCATTACTTGTGTAATGCTTCTCTCTTGACTTGTAAAATCCCTTGGTTTTGCTGACTACTCACACTAATGCCATTTTGCTTTTTCCTCTCCCAGCTTCTTACACCGGTTCAAGTTCAGAAGATGATGAAGAGCATCAACAGCGCGAAAATCCTCGAGAACGATGGCTCAAAGTCTCTTGTAGAGCGGTGAGAAAAATGTTACCTTTTTCCATGGTTGAACCTTCCAATTCTATCGATTTCAAAGCTTCGGCTCGGTTACGACTTTCCGCTTCTTTCGGTTTCATATCATATTGGTGAATGTTGCAACACCTAGCCGTTGAAGATAATTATTCGGATGAACGGCCCACCTAATTTTACCCAATCTCGTTAAAATTTCAGTCTTCCATGCTCCCCCATCCACTTTGTGCCGCAACAGGTGTTAACTTGTGATGCTTCGCATGGCTGGCTTGCAAATTGGCAGCCACGGACTGTTACACACTGGCACACTGCTAGGCACGGCAAATTCTAATTCTCTGTTCGAAACGCACCCATCGGAACATTGATTTTCTGTGGTGTTTTCCCTGTGCGCGTTCGTACTCAGCTAGACTGTAAACCTTTTGCTCGACGAATAGCACCGGACACTAACTCACGATCGCTTTCATTTGTGACGGGACCTTATCGTGTTCTGCAACTATGCGCGCTGTAGTCATGTAAATGTCATGTCATGGAACCAGTGCACTATGGACTGACCGGTTTTTTTATGTTATTTCTTGTACTTTTACTCATTTCGTTATACATTATGTGCGCCATCATTCGGCGCGATTTTCCCGGTCATTTACTACTGAATATCTGCAAGTTAGGTTTCCCCTCATTGTATACACATCCGACAATCTGTGTTACCGCCTTCGCATGATCGATGTGCACGACGTCGTTCTGTGTAACCTATTCCCATCACTCGTATTAACTGAAATACGATCCATTTCGGCTTCCCGTCCATAATTTGGGATAATCATTGGATCCACTGTGTGTGGTCAGCTTTGTGACAGTTTTACCTCTTCCTATCTGTTTCTGCTCGCGAACGCAACCATGAGCTTCTTTGCTTGTCAATGCTTAGTGTGCGCATCTATTCCTCGTGTTTCTTTGCCCACATGACCATTATCATCTAACCACTCCGTGATTAATCGCATTTTGATGCTGATACCCTGAGCTCTTTTTTCTCCTCCCATATGATTGTAGACTAATTCCCGCGGATTTAGTGACTTCTGTGTACAAAAAATACACGATGCTTCGTTCGGCCGCCGGGAAATCGAAATCGCTGAACAGGGTAAGTGCAGTTTTCGCATATTTTTGCAATGGGAACGTAACAGCAGAGCTTCATTTCAGAACGGCTCGGTAAAAATCGGTTAACCTATTTCTATTTCACTCAAATTTTCTATCCGCTGTCTGCCCCGTGGTCACTTTATAAGGAATCTACACGGCAGGAGTAAGGGGGTTTTGCAGGTTGTTCCAAACTCTCACTAACTGCGCAATTTCCATCGACCATGTTTCATTTGCCGGTTTTTTTTCTTTTTTCAATTAAGCGCATTCATTGGTGAACAAATTTGTGTCTTCTTGCTTCGCATAGTTTTCAGACAAATTTCGCCGTTTTTCAGAATTTCCGTTTTAGTCCTTCCTGTATCCAACCAATGATGTCTATGGTAAAAATCACACCGATTCGGTTAACGATAGGTTTTCTGCTCGTTCAGTCATTGACTGTCGTGATAGCATTTGTTGAGCAAATTTGGCCACACTTATCTACGCGCAACTCGCAGCTGCAAATTGTCAGTACTCACAATGCAGTTGTACAGCACTTCACGTTTCTGCATGAGCTGTCTTCACGGGTGATTGCATGCATCCGTTCTGGTTGCTGGGTCTTGTTAGCCTGTTCATTCTAGCCGAACCGATGTTCCGCCATACTCCATTCTTCATTGGCTCGCACATCCACCATAGCCCCTCAACCGGACACTGAGTTGCAACTGTCACCTTGGAAGTGGCAGACACTATCGACATCGTATTGTACGGCACCTCGGGTCTGTGTTTCGAATATGAGAAACACCCCATATTTCTTTTATTTCACGATGAGTTTGTGTTACATCATTCCGTGGATCTTGTCGTTTTCCCTACCAGTTCATCTCCGAAATCTTCCGTTTCCCACGTCACTGACTGCAATTTTCCCTTCTGCTGCTGATGCTAGTGTTCATACTCATCCTCTAATCTTCCCTGTGTTTCAATCTGATGTGTTCGATTTTCACCCCAGTATTGCTCAATTTACTACTACGATTCATCATAAAGTAGTAAAGGTAATCTGTGGGCTCGTTTGTCGAAGTACTGCTTCGTTTTACTCATATTCAACGGACCTGGCGCCCCGAAGTTCGTTCGTTTGGGAAGCACAGGTTAGCTTTTTAAGTGAATATCTTGCTTTTCCAGGTCCTGTGCCATGTGTTCTTTCGAACTCTTTGGTTAGCATTAGAGCACACACACACCCCATGAACGTCGACTGCTTTTTGATTGCCGAAATAATGTTAAACTCGGGGACCCTCTTTATCGTCTTGCTTCTTCAAGCGATCATGTTCTTAGTCGCATGTTTGCTGTGTTGTTTTGGCCTCCCCTGTATGTATGTATGTACTCTCAGCAGTCTAGCAACTAGACACAGAGCCAATAGAAAACCATGGAGACAGCGGAAAAGAGACAGTCATTGCGTCAAAATCATCGTGGCATACTAGTTGAAGGTGAATAACACACTTCGGGTAATATGCCGCAGGAAGAAAGGAACATTTTGACAAAAAATAGAACAAAACCCTTTTAGTTTGTTTTTCACACCGATTTTCCCCTTTTTGTCATTTTCAATGTTAGAAGTGTTAAACATGTTATTCAACACTATACTGTACACAAGTCTTCCATTGATTCCGGTTTCGGGCCATATCTTCAAGAATGCTAAGTCATTGGCACTCCTCGTCTTTGGGTCCCCATCCTGGAAGACGTACGGATCCAACAGCGGTTAGACACGACGTCAGCGATTTCATGTAGAAGGCCGACCACCACGCGGTCATCTTCAGCCAGGCTCTTGACGAGCGAATAGAGCGCGACGCGGTAGACGCTCAGATTCCATGCGTAGGACGTGACCGAGCCATCTCAACTGGCGCAACAAAACCACTTTGTTGAAGGGAATTCTCGCATTCTCCAAGATGCGATGTCGAACGTCATTACTATTAACTCGATGTTGCCACCAAACATGAGCAATCCTCCTTAAGCAGCCGTTATCGAAGGCAGAAAGACGACGCATGTCTTCCACGCGAATCGGCCAGGACTCGCTCCCATACAACAACACTGAACGAACACATGCTTTGTAAACGCAGCCCTTTGGCTAGAATGAGAGTTCACGACGACGCCTTAAGTGCCGCAGATTGACAAATGCTGATCGAGCTTTAGCGATACGAAGAGAAACTTCTTTGTTGATAGTGCCGTCAGCAGAAACACAGCTCCCAAGGTAGACGAAACTATCTACCTGTTCAAGTTGTGCGCCTTCGAGAGTGAGCACGGGAGCAGGTGAAAGCCAATCCTTGAGCTATTTTACACTTTAATGGGGCAAGACTCATGCCATACTTCGATGCTTCAACCGCCAAACGATCCAGAATGAGTTGCATACTCTGGGGATCGTCACCAAGTAAGGCGATATCGTCAGCATAATCTAAGTCAGTCGCGCGCTCACCCGGTAGAAGTTCTAAATGTTGGAAACCTAGAGCATTCGACAGAAAGTCTTAGATTGCGAAGTTCAAGAGGAATGGAAACATAGGGCAGCCCTGTTGCACACCGCTGTTGACAGGGAATTGCGAGAAAGCTTGCCATAGACCCTTATTCTGCCGGATGTATGAAGGTAAAGTACTCGCAAGATGGCGATATATTTCTCTGACATCCCGTACTTTAGCAATCAACGCCATAAAGCAGGTCTATTAACGGAGTCAAAAACGACACGTATGTTTAGGAATGCAACGATGCTGGGCCTGTGATAAATGTGGCGATGTTCGAGGAGCTAGCGGAACGTGAAGATTTTATCCACGGATCCGTTTCCGGGACGGAAACCAGCTTGTTCCTCGCAGTAGTATGATTCACGTACTGGGGATAGTCTGCCAAGCAGTGTGGATGCCGATAGCTTGGACGCAACCGAAATAAGACTAATCCCGCGATGATTTACACATAAAGTGCGAGCGCCTTTCTTGAAAATCGGGATAATGACTGATTCGCCCCAAGAGGAAGGCACTTTCTCTTCATGCCAAATTTTTGCGAACAACGAGGTCAGCTTGTTAATGATCGCCACACTGCCGTACTTGAAGAACTCCGGAGGATGTCCGTCTGAGCCGGCAGCCTTGAACCGCTTCAAGCGTCGAATCTCCAGGCAGACTTCCGCTTCGCTGGGTGGATGCAGTGGGACGAGCCAGGGTGGACAACAAGGTGTGCTGAATGTTCTAATGGATGGTGGAGGCCAGTTGAACTGCGAGTGAAAGTGCTCGGCCCAGCCGTCCATACGCCTCTGTTGGTTGGTGATCGGAGACTCATCCAACTCACAAATGGCCTCGCTGACACCAGGCTTCCTGAGGCCGGTAAACCGAATGAGTTGGAAAAGCCTGCGAATGTTGCCAGGGAGGGCAGCGGTCTCCATATCTAAAGCACCCTCAGACCACCATGCCTCGCGATCCTTGCGTAGACCTTGCTTGAGCAGCCGGTTGGCAGAACGGCGCCGCTCGTCGCAATCCGATTCCGCGGGGAATATCTGCTGCGTTCGAACAGCTCCAGAGAACGAGCAGAGATCCAAGCCTTTAGGGGCGTCGAGCTAGGCCGCAGGTTGACTGTCCGGAAATGGTCACCGCTTTCCGTATACAAGTCCAGTGTTGCTCCACGTCTTGCGGTGGATTGCAACTGAGTGCGTATGCCAGTGAAGACTGATAGCTCGCCTGGACAGAAAAATCAGTTAATCTGTTTACATCAATCTTGCGGTGCTTCGTGCTTAGGGACCCCGCAAAACACAGATTTTCGCGCAGACCAGAGCATGATCTGAATCAACGAAAGTAGACCAAAAGGACCTGCAGTCCAGTACGCTGCCGCGCCATCTGAAGCTGATTGCAATGTGATCAATTTGAGACCACGGTTGTGTTGGCGAAGGGGGACGCCACGTTGCGGAACGCTTTTTCGTACGCCTGAAGTTAGTGCTCGAGAGAAACAGATGCTTGTCTTCGCACAATATGAGAAGCCTATCTCCGTTATCAGACCGGTTCTTATCGAGCACGTAATGACCACCAAGGTGGAGTTCGTATGGTAAGAGGCGGCCAACCCATGCATTAAAATCCCCAGCAAACACAACGACATCCGACACCCCCTATAGTATCCCAGCGAGCGTGTAACTGCTTGCGAGTGAGCTCAGGGCTATAAAGCGTCAGTACGAAGCACTGCTATACCACTGACACCGTATGTTTCCTGGTTTGTGCTCACTAGCCATACTTCACTCCGACACTGGGGATCGAAACACACTGGTATTTATTTCATTGTTATGCCACGACACATTTGGCTATTCGAACCTATCTTTTCATCTCCCGAAACCCACTTTCAATTTACAATTGTCACTCGGTTTTTAGTTCGTTTTCGTTGTTTTGGATAAGATATTAAAACAAAGTGTACCGCGCTGCGGCACTGCTTGTAACAACGGAACTGAATTAAATTTAAGCACTTCTTGCAACGCGTAGATACTGAGCAGTATTTATCACAGACCCAGACTCTACGCACAGTCTGACTAGGGGACAGTGGGATAAGAACGGCGATTAACGTGGTTAACTGCTTTTGCAACGAACATTGGGAAACCGCACGGTTGTCGGTAAATCGAGTAGGGTGAACTTCCTTAAAGTACGTCTTAATGAGCTATGTGAACGAAGGTTAGGATCTGGAAATGTCTGCTTAAAGCACAAAAGACAACTTGCTAAGTGCTAAGTCTTCAAGGGGAAATAATGCGCCTGGTAAGGAAAGATAAAGTTCTTTCGCAATTCTCACTTTTGTGCCGTATGGTCACCATGCGTTTAGATCACCAATCAACTGTTGTTTTTACATCTCTGGTGTCCTCGTACTGTTCCCTGCTTCCGGTGCAACCACATAGCGATCATCGTTACTCCTCACTAGTTAGTATTTGGCAACAACCTCTGACGCGGTAGTTGATGCACCTGCAGTGCCTATCCTGAGTGTGTTACTTTACAGTAACGTGTTACTAGACGGCTTTAGGTGAATTTACTGAACTTACGGGTATGAAGGAACTAAGCGGCAGTGAGTTTTATCGGCACATTAAGCCTTTCTCCACTTGGATCATCGGATCGGCCAGATCGCTGAACGAACGATACCTGTCTTCAACTTGTGAGTTCCCTAGTACTCATCTATCATTTTTGACTACATTGTTTGACCTTTTATTTTTTTGCTTTATTCCTGTTTGTCATCCTTAATTATTTTCGCCATGCATACTGGAGGCTTAATCGGCGATCTTAGCGTTTACTTTTCTCTTATTTCCGTGTCGTAATCACCTTGCAACCTACTCAAGAACCCAGCGCCCATACTTTATGACTCACCAATGTCATTTCAAATCGGATGTAATCTGTTATACAGCATGCGTACCAACTAATCGTTACCTGACTCTTTAGATCGCTAGTGATGCGTTATTTTCATTTACTTCGAATACTAGCGAGTCAAATATTAATTGATCACAAAATTCAAAACTGCCTAATCGTCGTTCTGAATCTGCTCCCAATAGTTGTGGAGCATGTATGAACACCGTCTTGCGGGTATTCATATAATTAACAAATTAACAATTATATTACTGTGCACGGGGTTCTTAAGCCTGTACACTGTGGTAACCCAAAACCCCTACGTTCCAGAACTCGAAAATCTCTTGCAGTTTGCGCTACCCATTAAAGTGCTTCTCGCTCTCTTCTGTTCCTTAGCTTTTTGCGACACCTTTTTCTTTTGTTTTGGTCCGTAAGCATTGAATCTTCTATGGTGCCTACTCAATGCCGTTGGCATACCTCGTCGCTTGCGCTGGTTATCCTTTGTTCTGCATTCAGGCTAATCTTGTGTTTGTGCTTTGAGGCTTTCTATCTCTTTAATGCCTGCATCAACGCTCTCGGTGACCCACGATCCGTGATAGACTATTTCCTTTCTTTGATGGAAGTCCAAGGGCCACCTACATTTGTGGTTAGTTTTAAACAAATATATAAGTTCTACGGGCGAGCCACATCACCGCTCATGCCCATTTCCTTATGGTGACATTCTTGTCACTTCACTCTACGAGTCGTGTGTTATCTACGTAAATGTCCCTATCTCGTTTACGGGTATCCTGTTCGTTTTTTCTTCCTTGTACACAGTTTCTGCCCTCAAATAAAATTCACCCTATTTCAGAAATGCCCGGCCTCGTCACGCTTCGGTCACGTGCCAAGGACGATCAACCATTAAAGGGGGCGCGAATACTGGGTTGCACACATGTCACTGCGCACACGGCGGTAGGTTTGCCTCCTTTTTTCACGCACCTTTAATTGTCCAGCAGTAGCAACTACTTTTACTCACATCGACTCTATTCGCTTTTCGTTGGCGCCTCATGACTCGTTATACACCTTTGCAAAAGCGTCTGGGATAAATCTCTTGCGATACTTCTACTCACCTAGTTATTACTGCCCAAACTGTTGTTCTGCGCTATGATTGATTATGTGATATCGTCAAGTCGTGAACTGCGCACATTTGCATGATTCACTTTTTATTGACCCTTTGTTCTCATTATCATGGTGTCGCAGCTTCTGTTTTGCGTCGCTTTGTCTTGCGTTTGCTCCACATTGATAGGCTCTTGTCCCGAGTCTCTAGGGTCATTTTTTTAGTCTTGCAAATAGGTGGAAGTCAGTTAAATACCGTCCGAGATCGGTAAACTTGAAGAAACCATCACATCACACGTGCCTTTGTTCTTGTTCATTGCCCCATTGCTAAACTTTACAAAGTAATAAGTTTTTGATCTCTCTGACAATGTTCTGTTACCCATCAACTGTTACACAATTTGAAAACAGTTTTATATCCTTTTTCTCGCTGGCTTGTATGCCTACAGACCGGGAGGCATGTGGATGAGAGCCACGATTCATCAACGGAGCCGGCCCACACTCCTTCACAGACAGGCACAAACGCGCTGTATTTAGGGAATCAAGTGCACACAAGGCAATAATTAGACCGTAGCCCGCATCACACCTAAATCGTGCGCATGGAACTATTCTACAAGTGTATATATACATGTATATATATGTATATATATATATATATATATATATATATATATATATATATGAGAGAGAGAGAACACAGTCAATTGGCAGTGTACTGCAACGTATGGACATGCATAATAATACGACAATAATAAGGAATTATCGAAGGTGAAATGTGCAAAACTGAAGCCATTGGGGCAGAGTCTCACAGCATGTTCGCCACTGCTCATAATTTCTTGACATGTTGGAAAAATTTTACAGCCGTGTGTTTTCATGGTCTTTGGACGCCCGACCGCGGCCAAGGGTGAAGTCAACGCCTTCATACTTTTGACCCAACTAACTCGCTGGCCACCTTATCTTCGTTTACAGCCGACTTCTGTGAATTCGAAGAGCGCACGGTGAGGTTAACGCTCAATAGGCATGTGTAGCACATGCCCAAGCCACCGAAGCTTATGCAGTGCAATTATACGGCTCAGCGGCCGACAAAATTTATCCGATTTGAAAATCTTTCTGCGAACATCCTCACCACTAATGTGGCGTTGCCACCTTACACCAACAATGCTCCGAGGGCTGCGGCGCTCAAAGACAGACAGCCTCTGAACGTCCTTTGCGCGAACAGACCGTCTCGCAACAGTAGAGTAGGATTGCTCTCACCGTAGCATTGGAGACTCGGCCCTTCAAGGATAGACTCAGGTCGCGGCGATGCCAAAGATGGCGGAGATTAGCAAACACAACCCGAGTCTTAGAAACGCGCAAGGAGACCTTATCCGTTAAACCGTTAGCGCCGATGCATTTTCTGAGGTAAACAAGCTTGTCTGCCACTTCCAGAGATTGATCTGAAAGGGTAAGCGTTGGAGCAGATCCTGGAAAGTACTGTACGAAGACATTACACTTTGGAGGGGAGTAGGTCATTCCAAACTGGGAGGCAGACACCGCCAACCTGCACAGGACATTTTGACTGGCCTGTGCTGAATCGCAAATTACGGCGACGTCTGCATACTAAATCGCAAAGTCGATCCCGCGGAAGCAGTTCAACTCCACTGGATCCGCAATGCTCCCGAGCGCTTTCCAGCATGTCATCAATAACGAAATTGAATAGGAGGGGTGATGCAGGACAGCCCAGTCTCTCCCCGCTGGTGATAATAAAGGGCGGCTTGAGGTTCGAGAGTGGATGGCTCTAAGGAGCTTGACGTACTTCTCAAGCACTCCCTTTCGGATACAGCCCCAGAGAGTCGCCCTGTCAACTGAGTCAAACGCGATTCGTATGTCTAAAAAGACAACGATCGTTGGCCGGCCGAATGTTTGACGACGCTGGAGTATTTGGCGGAGTGTAAAGATGTGATCGATACAACTCCGACCGGAGCGGAACCCAGCTTACTCTTCTCGAATGTATTGTTCGCGTACCAGGCTGACGCTCCTTAAAATCATTGCGGCAAGCGCTTTAGAGATAACGCAGATGAGACTAATCCCTCTGTGGTTAGCGCAGTCCGTCCGGTCACCCTTTTTGAAGACGGGCATGATATCCGTGAGACTCCAATTGGACGGGATTGTTTCAGTGGTCCAAACTTTTACAGGAAGGAACTTAGCTCCCGAACAATTGAGGAGGGAGTTCGTCTGGGTCAGGTGCTTTGTAGCGCTTTTGGAGGTGAAGCTCATGAGCAATCTCAGAAGGTGGTGAAGTGTGTTCACACCAGGCAGCACTACGGATTCCCGTATGAGGGATCACCGGTGCTGCAAGCCAGTTGAATTGCTGCTCAAACTGCTCAGCCCAACGCACAACTCGACATTGTTAACAGTGGATTCATTCGCCATTCGCATAAAACTTCGCCTACAGTCGGCCTTTTACCGCCAATGGATCGGATCAGATAGAAAAAATTTTTCGGAAATTCCGTGGGCTGGCTGCCTGCTCCATATCAACTACCCGTTGCGTCCACCAGGCCTCGCGTTCTTCCCTGAGGAACCGTTTGTGTTTAGCGTTAGTGTTCCTACGTAGTGAATGATATTCAACACCAACTGAAATTGCCCGACGAGCTTCGAGAAGTTAGAGGGATCGTGCAGATATCCAGTGGTTGACAGAACTATTGGTGAAACCACAGACCTAGGTCACAGAGTTGTACATGGCATTGCAGATGTGTGCCCAGTGCGTTTCAACTTCTGAGTATGAGACGCTCTTGAGATTTGAGGTCAACGTATCCTGAAACGCGCTGAGAACGCTTGGGGCAGAAAGTTTTTGCTGCGTCCACGCCGTTGGGAGCCACCAAAACGTCAAGCAAGCTTGGCACGCACGAGCGCGTGGTCCGAAGTGAGGTACTTACTTCAGCTTGATTTGCAATTCTGTATGCAGCCCCGTCAGCCATAACTCATGGCGATGTGGTCTATTTGCGTCCATAGCTAACCAAGTGACGGAGGCCTCCAGGTTGCGCGTTGGCGCCAGGATAGCCGAAAGCTAGTACTCGACAGGAAGAGGCCGTGATCGGCACAAAGCTTAAGTAGTCGATCATCTTTATCTGTTCTTCGAGTGACATGGCCATGTTGACCTCCGAGTTCACGCTCTTCAACTTCAACTCTACCGACTTGCGCGTTTAAGTCCCCTGCAAGCACCGCGATGTCTGTACGGCGCATTTTTCGGGGAAGATCGGACAGTTGACAGTAGAACTCGTCTTTAACTTACTCCGGGCTGCAGCCTGTGAGAGCGTATGCTGCTACAACGAGCAAGTAACGTCTACTGGCCCCGCTGCTGGAAAGTCGCACTGAGGTCTCAAGGATAGCGCAGAGTCAACTGTTGCCAAGGCTCCATTCAAATAGCGCGGCCTCAGCACTTGGGCTTAACGCAAACCCCCCGCCGGCAAGACCAGCGGCTTCGGCGGTTTCGTCTCCAAATAAGCGCAAGTTGAAAACGGCAGTGGAACTCGCAAACGGCGGAATCAGTCGTATCGTCATGCCAGGGTCCTGTAATCGGGTTTCAATGAGGCAGCAGATATCGATGGCAGTAGTCTCAAGCGTGCGAGCAAGGGTTGCTTGTGATCCTATCTGCATCAGCGTCCGGACATTAAGAGTTGAGGCTTGAATTGGGAACGGGCCGCTAGAAAAGGTTTGCCAGTACTACTTGGCGGCACACTCTGGGACCTAAATTCCTGATCCGTATGGCGCGAACACTCGCCCAAGACGGCACGATATTGTGGACTCGGAAACGGAGCGGGATTACCAAGAATAGAACAAACGTGGAATTAAGTAACCAAACTGTAATGCGGTAGTGCGCGCTATAGCGTGTTCGGCCGCCAGCACCTCGGCCAAAGGACGCGTTGGCAAAGTGCTAGAAGTTGTTGAAACATTGGTCTTTATTTTGTGTGGGCATGGTACTTCCCGGTTCCCAGGCCGAGGATGAGGGTTGACTTAGGGGACCCTACCCGGAGCCTTCGGTCTAAAGACCTGACCCGCAAGACAGCGGGATGATTGACATATATCGCATATCGTTGCGGACCGGCTGCCATGATGATGATAAAAACGGCTTTCAAGCAGAAATAAACTGCTCAGGCTGCCAAACAAGCCCGAATGAAGCAGCACAAAGATCAGGAGAAATTTTCTAGACCAACGTACTCGCCGAAGAGCATGAAAGCCGGGTGGCTCATACGTCTTCACAGCAGCCGGTGGCCTTCGAGGTAGTTCACACACCCTTCGTTGAATACTCACTTCTGGTCGCAGAAGTGAGTTGTTCAGTGACCCTACAGCCGGTCACATTGGCTTTGACAAAGCGTCTTACAAGCTCTTTAGTGAGGAACCAGATGACCAGCCCAGAACCCCGCACGCTCTAGGACGCTGCCGCTGATTGTCTGCAACTGCGAACAGCCGAGACTTATTCTCGGTTACCTTCACAAGGGAGGCGTTCACCGATCCGCAACCTGGGGACGCGCCCAGTGCTTACAGCTCCGCCGAACCAACCAGTAGTCAGTTCACTTCTGGGGCTGGTATATAAGATGTAGGCAACTTGTCAACATGCACATCAATCATAGCATGAGACAAATCGTTGACGGCATCCGGTTCCGGATTTGCCTGTCACTGCGGCCTCCACAGGACGCCTGCGCTTACAAATGGACTATGGATGGCTTGCGCTGCACCGCCCATAGCTCCATCTACACACCCCATATCCAGTGTAAACGCGAAGGAATAAGACCGGGAGGCATGTGGATGGGATCCACGTTTCATCAACGGAGCCGGTCCACACTCATTCAACATGCACAGCAGCAGCATTTCTGTCTATC